ATTTGCCATTATATTTCTAAAGGATGTTGTCTCTTTAAACTTTGTTTAGAATTTGCTGAAGAAGTTATTATCTAAGTTTGCCAGAGGAAACCAGAGAAGTCTGCAAGAAAGTAATTGGTCATCTTATAACCAGATTAAGTTTGCAATACAGAGCAAACAGAAGGACTAAGAGTAACATATATATATATTTTAAATTTGGGCTTCTGTGTTTGGAAGACAGACACAGAGCACCAGGGGCTCTTATCAGCAGGATGCTAGCTAGCATGCTTCCTGAGCAGAGGCTTTCGGCTAGGAGAAAACCAGAAGGAGGCAGGATACTTGAATGAAGAAAGAAAGGGGAAAACCTTGTTCCTGGAAGTAATCAACTAACTCAGAAGCAAGAAAGATGTATCTCCAGACTAGCGGGGAGGCAGTTATAGAAAAGACTCTCTTGATACAGAAGGTATAGATCCGTGAAATTGAAAATAAACTCCTGGTGGGACAACTGGCACCAAGCCAAGATAGGGTGAGTTGTGTAACATAGCTACTGTAGAAATATGGGAGCTTGGGGGAAAGGCATGAATGTGACTCCTAAATTTTGTTTGTTTTAATAGGTTTACTATGAATAAAACTCCAGGTTGTTTAATTGTTAAGTTATCGATACATCCATTTTTAATCTTCCCAAATTTGGCAAATTTGTGGTTATACATCTGTGTGACTTTAAGCAAAGAGCTATGAACTTGAACCTTAGTGAAAGTCCAATTTTTGAACTGACCACAGTTCTAACTGTCACCACTTAGTGGCAGTGCCCTGTAATTGCAGTGAAAATTACCAGAAAAAGAAATTTAGCTGTTCATATTAGCTAAAACACAGGTTTGCAAAGCACGTTCTACACGTGATCGCATTTGATCCTCATGAACAACCCCGTGAATAAAGATACTTCTTTTCACCATATTTCACATGAGAAAACTTACTATCAGAGAGGTAAAGTGATTTACCACTAGTCATTTGAACCCAGCTAATGAGTTCAAAATGTAATTGTAACCCAGGTGTTTCCTTACTTCATGTCCAGTGTTCTTTCTCCCAAACTTTTTTTAAACAAGCTGCCTTTTGCTTTGCCATTCTGTAGCTTAAGTGATGGAACCGTTAAAAACAGACATCATTAGGGCACTATAAACATTTCCTTTGTCTTTGTCAGATGTTCTCCAACAACCCTATCAACACATATGACCAAAACCAAGGAAGCATTGTGAAAAACTGATTTAAGGAAATCATGAGGCAAGTAGGTAACCTTATAAAGAACCATGAAGATTGGAGTTTGAATCCTCTCTCAGGTATTTCTTAGCAAGTCAAGTCTTTTAGTCTTCCTTGGCCTCATTTTCCTCATCTGTAAAATAAGTATAATAAAATAGAACCTACCTCACAGGGTTGTCGTGAGGATCAGATGAGGAAAGTTTTATATAATAATGCATTTGGCTACTTGCCTGAGATACAGATTAAATGGTATTGATGAATAGAGGTGGGTGGGTATGGAGTGGGGAAAGTGTTGGAGGGAAGGGACACAGATATGTAAATTGGCGTTCATTTTTGGTACGTTTCTGTACCTTTAATTATTATGTAATAGTGTGTCCCTGTAATGCTGAAAGATGTAGTTCTCTCTGCACGCATGAGTGTGTGTGTGTGTGTGTGTGTGTGAGAGAGAGAGACAGAGAGAGAGAGAATATGGTGGTTATTTAGTGGTTTACTGGGAAGTTTTCAAACCATCCACAGAACCACAGTATTTACAACTGGAAAGGATATTAGAAACCATCTAGTCCAACTCACACTTATAGTTGGGGATGTTGAGGCCTAAGAAGGAGAATTGACTTGCCCAAGGTCACAGAGGGTAGTATCACTGGGAAAGTGCAAACACAAATCTTGACTCCAAATCTAGTGCTGTTTTTATACTATGTCTTTTCTATCTGGGATGATTTCTGGGTGGAAACCACTTGTGGTTTGGAACATGTGGTAGCTGGAGAGAGAAATGTTGGATGTTGGATCCAGGGTGTACCAAATTTCCATACAAAAAGACTCATGCCCCAGGCCAAAGGCGAGAGGGGTACCCCAGATTAGTTTGAGGAAGGAACTGATGCCTAGGACATTGAAGCATAAAAGGGAAGAAACAGAAGTTCAGCAGGTAGAGAAGTGTTCCAAGGAGGCCAGTTTGCTAAAGAAAGTGTCCAAGGTGAGGAGTCATTCCCAGTTGGTCCCTGACTCTTAAAGCATGATGAAAATGGAAGTCTGCTGTGGAGTAACCGGTGTGAACTTGTGGGCAAATCCCTTAACCTCTCTGGGCTTCCGTTTCCTCAACTTTAAAACTGGAAGTAGAATTAGATGCTTTCTAAGGTCTCTTCCAGCTCAAAATCTATGATCTTTATAATCATAAATTTATTATCTCTATAATCTATATAAAGCTATAATCCTTATAATCCCATGTGGAACTTAAATGGTAATCTCCTTGGCATTACTATATTACTTTACTTGGGACATTGTTCCTACAGAATGCCTACCTATCAATGTAGACAAAATCCAATGCCAGTCTAAATTCAAGACATATTGCTCATGCCCCCTTGAATGCATTTGTATACTACTTTTCTAACAGATGTCGGGTTAGTTAAAATCCCCATCACTAATAAATTCTAGGACTTGTCATCTTTGCTAAACTTCTGAAAGAAGGCCAAACCAGGTTTTTCCTCTTGGTTTGGAGGATTGTAATAAACCCTGGCCATAAGGTTCCCCTTGAAACTTAACCCAGAAATTTTTCTAGCCGCCAGTCTCCTCCTACTTCCTGCATGTGGAAATAAATGCTTGCACCAAATTTTCCTTTATCCCCAATCTGTCCTTTCTGAATAGTCTATATTCTCTTGTACTCTATTTCAGCATATAACCATAATGCCAATCAAAACAGACCTGTCTGTAGAAAGTGAGATTTGTCATTTTTCTTGCTACTTTCCTACTCTCCCTGCATTTGTCTTCCAGCAGTTAACCACAGGCTCCTGAGGCCTGCTCTGCCCAGCTCTCCTTCTGTTCTCCTTCACTTGCATTTTCTCATTTTCAGTTTTCAGTCCCAGAAATACCCTTTTTCCAGAATGCCTTTCACACCTAGGGATTATTCCCCACATAGCATACCTAGTTTGTAGTCTACAGTATTCAATAGTAGCGCATGTTTATGTATTTTGAAGTTTAAGAAGCATTCTCCTTCCACCCCCCACAACAGACCTTTGAGGTAAGTAATGCAAGTCTCATTACCCCCTTTTTACAGTACACATGGGAGATACTAAGACTCAGAGTGAAATAACTTGCCTAAGATCACCCAATGAACAATTTCAGTTCCATTTAAAAGTCTGTATTACCAACTATGTGAAGGGTGTCTTCCTTTAATGACTGACTCTGCCCCCATAACCTCCTTGTTCTTGAAGACTCTGCCGTGGAGCCCAGGCTGTGGCAGCTTCTACCAGCCTTTGAACCCTTGGGCTGATCTAATCATTCTACCCTTTCGTTTTAGGTACTTTCTTAGTCTCTTCCCTCACAGCCTCCTATTTATTAATCCAGCTCATTACATTGTTCCCCATGTTGGAGGCGACCCATTAACCTTGTTCAGGTTTGTTGTTGGATTGAAATGAGTCAGCCTTTGAAAGTCATTGAACAGTTAACAAAAGGAGCCTTACTTTGTCCTCAAACAGCAAGAATATGCAATAAGGATATTGTAGCACTTAGATTTTCCGGACAATTCATCCCCCTAAAGCCTTACCCTGTCTCCACATGGAAAGGCACCTAGTCATCAGGGCAGGACATGGTGACGTGTGTGGTCTTCAGAAATTGACTCCACCTTGGTGAAACTTTATATTCTTGGATGACCATGACATTACATCAAAGAAACAAGGGCTAGTTAGGCCTGGGAGACCACTTTGTCTTCTTTTGGGGAAAATTAATCCCTCTTTTAGGAAGAAAGAGGAAGTGTAAAGGAAGACATTTTGATGGACAGAAAGGAGGTGTGGGTTTAATGCTGATGTATCTGTCTTAATCCTATCAAGGGAAGGGGAAGCTGGTAGTGAACAAGCATTTATTAAGAGCCCAATATGTACTAGACACTCTAATAAGCAGCTTGCAAATATTATCTTATTTCATCCTCTTAACAACTTTGGGATGTAGGAGCTGTTAGTATTCCCATTTTATAATTGAGGAAACTGAAGCAGCTAGTGATTAATTGCCCAGAATCACACGTGTAAGTGTCTGAGGCTAGATTTGAACTCAGGTCTCTCTGACTACAGGTTCAGTGCCCTATCCACTGTAGTACCGAGCTGCCTATTGTAAACCAGGTTCGCTTACCTCCTGATTTTCTCCCTTACAATACCTCACAAACTCACATGACTGGTGCAGTGGATAGAACACTGGGCTTGCAGTCAGGAAGACCTGAGTCCAAATCTGGCCTTACACACTTATTCACTGTGTGACCCTGAGCAAGTCACTTAACCTCTGTTTGCCTCAGTTTCCTCATCTGTAAAGTAGGAGTAATAAAAGCAACTACTTCTCAAGGTTGTTGTGAAAATCAGGTGAGATAATTTTGAGGTGGTTAGCACAGTGCCTGGCACACAGTACGCACTATGTAAATGTTAGGTGGTTATTATTATTTTTAATCTTTCCCTTTCTCTTCTTTGAACCATATCTTTAACATAAAAAATTATATTTTTCATCCCTTTCATGAGGATCAATAAGACTAATATAGACAATTTTTCACAGCTATTCCTCCCACTTCCACCCCTCATTGTATGGAAAGAACCCTCCTCCCTGACTTTTAAATACTGTCACTTGAACCTCCACAACCAAAGTTCAATATTGCCAAGTCTATTTATGTCTGTATTTCATTTAACCTGATTTAAATTTGCAGCTTTTTTCCCCTCTACATTTTGTATCACTGGATAAAAATGATTTATGTGGTCATCTTTATTTCATACTTTAACATATTGTCTTTCTCTTGACAGACTGCTGAATGCTATAAAACCAGGACTTGTAAAAAAGATCAATAGATTGCCCACCCCCATTGCAGGATTGGTGAGTATTCTGAAGCGGTTTTTTTTTTTTCCAGTATGATTTTGCCATGCGTGTAAAATTATAATGGCTTCAGTGTTTGGCTGCAGCATTGAATGAGACAGTATCCTATCCTTTGGATGTAGACAACTGGAGGGAACCCCACTTTAGTGGTACCTGAATCTTGGCTCAGTCTCTTCCTTCCCCCTAACATGGATGTTCATTATTACGGAGATGAATTTGTTTCTGGGCGAGATGTTTATAATTCAGTTGTACTTGTGGATAAATACAGTAGTAATTGGCTCATTTCAGTCTTTGATTCATTTGTCCTAAAAATTGAGAGAAGAACTTTTCTTAACGAACAGATAATCTTGATGAATTATGGTTTACACTTGGGTTTAAAAGGCAAAAAAGCAGCGCAGTGCTCTGCACAGGGAGTTATAATAAATGCTGTTGTCATTGATAGATGGAAGTTCTAATAATGTGCTGAGTCAATAAAATGTTGTAGTGGGCCCGGTGCTCATCATTTAATCATTTAGCAAGCATTCACTGTGTACCTACTGTGTACAGAACCCAGTGCTAGACCTTGGGAGAATACAAAGTTTAAATAAAACACGGTCTCTGCTGTGATGAAGTTTGTAGCCCAGGTTACTATGCTCTCCAGAATATCATACTGTAAAACAAAGAGAGAGTAGCATTTATATCGAGGAATAAGCACTGAAAAAAAGAACAAACAGCTTAAAATAATGTATTAGATTTCTAACTTGGAGTGGGGGAGTATTATTTTTATTGCTTTAATTAATGCTCATAGAATCATGAAACTGTAGAATTAGAAGGCCTCAGAAGTCCTCATTCCAAAGCATTAATACCATCTATGATATCCTGGACAAGTGATCACCCTCCAGTGATAAGGGACTCACTACCTGTCATGACAACATATTCCACTTTCTGGTAGTTCTAACTTTTAGGAAGGATTAAATCCAAATCTGCTTACTGTAGCTTCCATCCCTTGGTCCTGGCTCTGCCCTTGGGGCCTAAGTGGAACTTCCACATGAAAGCTCTTAATATTTGGAGACAGCTATCATGTTGCCCCTAAGGTTTCTCTTCTCCAGACTACTAAACATCTGGAGGTTTCTTCAGTTTATCCTGGAATCGCGTGATTTTGAGGCTCTTTCTCATCTTGGTCATTCTATTCTCAATGCATCTCTGTTTGTCAGTGTGTTTTCTAAAAAGTGGTAAGCAGAACTTCACACAGTACTCTACGTTTGGTCTGAGCAGGGCAGGGTACACCTCTGTTCTGCACTTTTGTTTTTGTAATGTCCCATCGGATTAGCTTTTTGGATTTTGGAATCTGTAGAGTTCTAGCTCAATGGATTTTGTTTCCTTTTTTTAAAGGAAGATAATGCAGTGTGAGGGTGGATGAGAAGATTGAGGGAAGGCTATAGATGGGCAGTAGTTTAGTTACTGTAAAAGACAAGAAGGTAAGGACTGTAAGTGGATTCCAAATGGTTTGTTGGGTGTTTCTTGTGACAACCACCTTGTTTTTATATGCAGACTCAAAAGTTCAGAAAGCAAATGGGAAAAGTGTCAAGAATCTAGACAGGAGATAGGCTTTAAGGATTGTTGCAGATGAAACTATTAACCATAAAATGATTGCTAATTGAAGCTACATGAGAATGAGTGGTTATTCATTCCCATGTAGCTTCAATTAGCAATCATTTATTAGGCAATTATTCCCATATGAACTCACAACTCATTCCATTTTAGCAATGAATGGCAATGAAATAATTGTATACACAATTTCTTATATAAGGTTGTATTAATAATGTATGTGGACTCAGGCAGTCACATTTCTGCATGGATTGAAGTTTTGTTTTTTTTTTAAACTTTGTAATAGGTGAGTATACTCTGTAGCTATTATCCCAAGTCCCACTTGCATTAGCATTAGCACTGAGGAGTTAGGGAGGGCATATCTTTTCTAATATTGTAGCTCATAAGCCCCTATTGGTGTTCTTCATGCTATGATTATTGCTTTGTAACCATCAGTTGGATAGAATCCTGGGGAAAGGTTCCTCTCACTTAGAAAGTATATGTGGCAAAACCTTGGAAGCCTTTTAGCTAGCATCCTCAAGATGCCCCTGTAGGGAAAGTTTAGCTTTTCTGCTGGACTCTTGGCAGACTCTTGTATTTCTCTCATCTGTCCTTGATTCCCAATACAAGCATTCTTTAGCTGACCTGGGGTCTCTCATAGGGTACCTATGAAAGTTGGGAGTCCTCTGATCCCCCAAGTTTGAGGTCCTCTTCTGGTTAGGGGGGATGGCGAAGCAACCAAGACTAAGACGAAGGAAGAAGCTGGGAGCTATGCTCCTACTTCCCCAGCCCTAATTGATTTTTTTTCTCAGGGGTTTGAATGGAATGCTCTCTCTTCTTTGCACAAATTTCTTGGGTTCTGAATTAACTCCATAGTTTTATGCAGGCCTCACAGGCCATCACTAAGTCCTTCACCCAGTCCCTCACCGACCTCTAACAGGTTTCCTGTGCAGTATCACTGGAATTCATCCAGAGACTTTCAAGGATTTTTCATACTTAGTCTAAAGTCTTTGTTTGATAAAAAGAGACATTTTCTCACCTGATAAACACAGAACTAAAATGGGGGAGGGAGGGGATGACTTTGACTCTTTATTTGTATAGTTAATTGGTTATTTGATTTTTTTTTCTTTTGCCATTTATACTTTAGCTAGTTCAAAAAACTGTCATTAAAGTGCTATAATTCCATTCTTTACTAGAATCTTTAAAACTGATCATTCAGGTTGATTTTCTTAAAATGTTAATAGCATGATTGTGATGACGTTGAGTCTGACAATTTTCATCTTTTTTTTTTATCAGTCATACATATGCCCATTCTGACCTTGAGGCCCAGAGAATTAATGCCCAAGGCGCTTAAATAATTTATCCATAGAACTGGTAGCAACCCAATGAAATCCAAGAGAAGAGGGCAAGTATATCTGAGGCAGACATTTCAGAGGAACTCTGGAACCATAGGCAAGGAGTTGATCTCCATGAGTATCAAGAGGAATTAGGTGTACAGTGTGGACTATTAGAGACCTTAGTTCAGATTATGTAACCCTGAACAAGTCATTGTACCTCTGGGCCTCAGTTACCTGATCTATAAAAAGAGGAAGTTGGGCTTGATGACCCCTAGGATCCCTTCCAGCTCCAAATCCTTGAGCCTGTGATCTTTGTGCTCTTTCTGTTGTCTTACAGAATGTGGCTCCTGATCTATTGAAACTGGTTCAGAACAAAGGAACAATTGCTTTTTTAAAAAAATTAATTAATTTTTAGTTTTCAACACTCACTTTTATAAGATTTTGAGTTCTAAATTGTTTCTCCTCCTTCCCTTCTCCCCTCCCCAAGACAGCATGAAATCTGATATAGGCTATACATGAACAATCATATTAAATATATTTCCACATTATTCATGTTGTAAAAGAAGAATCAGAGCAAAAGGGAAAAACCACAAGAAAGAAAAAAACAAAAAGAGAAAATAGTATGCTTCGATCTGCATTCATGCATCTCCATGGTTCTTTCTCTGGATGTGGATAGTATTTTCCATCTTGAGTCTTGGAATTGTCTTAGATCGTTGCATTGTTGAGAAGACCTAAGTCTGACAAAGTCAGTCATCGCGCAATGTTGCTGTTACTGTGTACAATGTTTTTCTGGTTCTGCTCACTTCACTCAGCATCAGTTCATGTAAGTCTGTCTAGGTTTTTCTGAAGTCCACCTGCTCACCATTTCTTATGAAACAATAGTATTCCATTACATTCATATACTGTAACTTGTTCAGCTGTTCCCCTATTGATGGGCATCCCCTCGATTTTCTATTTTTTTGCCACCACAAAAAGAGCTACTATAAATATTTTTGTACATGTGGATCCTTTTCCTTTTTTTATGATCTCTTTAGGATACAGACGTATTAGTGGTATTGCTGGATCAAAGGGTATGCACAGTTTTGTAACCCTTTGAACATCTAAAAAAACATCCACAGAGGAATCAACTATCCTTTTTGCCCATCTGAAAGTTGAAACCTCTTCTCTTTTTTCACCTCGATTTTCCTTCCTTTGATTACATCTTGTCTTGTGATTGATATGTTCCCCTTTAACCTGCTGCCTTCCTCATGCATAGAGTTATTAACCTTATGTTAATTATATTATGTTATGTTATTATATTAACCTTATGTCTTGAGGGGAAAATACTGAGAGGCCTTACCATCTTCTGTACTACTGTATCCTTAGGTGTTCCTAGTCCAGGCCTCAACATTTGCCTTGCACTGGTATCTGCCCCACCACTGTAACTTATAGGGCTTCTGGACCTTTTCTCCAGCCCTGCAGATGAACATTTTCAATGTTGTTTCTTCTAATTAGAGTGTGAGTTCCTTGAGTGCAGGGATAATTCTGCTTTTTTTATTTGTATTTGTAGTGCTTAACACATTACTGGTCACTAGTAAGTGTTAATAAATACTTACTCATTCATTCATTCATTTATTCATTCATTCATATGTGAATAACAAAATGAGGACAGTTGAAAATAAATTGATCTTTTCAGCCACATCCAAAGCAATTAATAATATTTTCTTTGCCAACTAGAAGTGACTTATTAAGAAAATCAAGTTTACAAAAATGTGAACTGGAAAAAATAGATAAATGAGGGATCGCTTGCTTTACCAAAGAATTTATCATAGTGTGCTTTTACATAGCAATCCCCTAGCATTTTTAGTAATTTCTCATTAATCCTGTTGAACATTCAAGTGAGTACTTGATAACTTAATTTTTAGGGATGTATCTATTTAAGATGAGAAGTAGTGTTACATGATGGATAGAATGCTATATGTAGCTTCTAGAAGACCTGGGTTCAAATTCTGCCTCTGGCACCTGTCAGTTTATCTCCAAGAGGCTCGGATTACAAATCTGTAGATTGTGATCTGTTGTAGTGGAAGGAGTTTTCCATGTTGGGAGTTCTCATACCAA